CCTGGAGCAGCCGCCCCTGCAGCAGCCGCCCCTGGAGCAGCCGCCCTTGAAGCAGCCGCCCCTGGAGCAGCCGCCACTGCAGCAGCCGCCCCTGGAGCAGCCGCCCCTGCAGCAGCCGCCCCTGGAGCAGCCGCCCCTGCAGCAGCCGCCACTGGAGCAGCCACCCCTGCAGCAGCCGCCCCTGGAGCAGACGAAAGGCAGCAGCCGCCCCTGGAGCAGCCACCCCTGCAGCAGCCGCCCCTGGAGCAGCCGCCCCTGCAGCAGCCGCCCCTGGAGCAGCCGCCCCTGGAGCAGCCGCCCCTACAACTGCCGCCCCTGGAGCAGCCGCCCCTGCATCTGCCGCGGAGCCCTCGCCCTACAGTGGTAGCGGCCTCGCCGTTGCCGCCGTCGTACGCCTGCCCTTCTCGCCACTGGTGAGCACTGCCCTGCCCGTACTGCTGTTACTGCTGCTCTTGCTGCTACTGCTCTTTCTACTGCTACTGCTGCTCCTGGCGTGGCCAGATGCAGCTCCAGCGTCGTCCGCGTGAGTCCCTCACCCCCCAACAGCTTCGTGAGTGGTACGCTAGTTGGGGTTATAGGGGTGGCCGTGCTGCGACTACTGCTATTGCTACTGCGGCTACCACTGCTCCTGCTGCTCCTGGCGGTGGCCAGATGCAGCTCCAGCGACGTCCGCGTGAGTCCCTCACGCCCCAGCAGCTCCGTGAGTGGTACGCTACTTGGGGTTGTCGGGGTGGCCGTAGTGGGAGTCGTCCTGGAGTGAGTAGTTCGGCAGCTGCTTGTAGTGGCCAGGTGCAGCTGCAGCGTCGTCCGTGCGCGGTCCTTTCGCCCCAGCAGCTTCGTGAGTGGTACGCTCAGCGTGGCAGGTCACGGGGTACTGCTCGCTGTCCGTACGTGATTCGCACTGGTGCTCGGACTGGTCAGCCTTGCGGGACGTTTGGTCACGCAGAGTCCCGCTGCTTCGCCCGTCTGAGCGACGCCTGGCGTACGGAGTTTGGCGACGCGGCTGAGCTCCCCGACTGGGTGGAGCTGCTTAGGCTGCGGGTAGACATCTATACTCTTGACTATGATGCTATCCTCACTGCCATGTATGCATTGCCTACTAGTGATGAGGGTGACTGTTACCCGTGTGTTCCGCCTGACCCGGGCATTGAGGCTGCTGCTCTAGGTGCTGGTGAGGCTGCTGCTCTAGGTGCTAGTGCGTCTGCTGCCCCAGGTGCTGGTGAGTCTGCTCTCTCAGGTACCACGTCGGCTCAGGCCTTACACACCTTCACCCTTGACTCGGGTGCTTCCCGCTCCTTCTTTCGAGACCGCACCACGCTTACACCGCTTATTCGGCCAGTTGCGGTCTCCCTGGCGGACCCCTCTGGGGGTCCTGTCCTTGCCCACTTCTCCACTGTCTTGCCGTGTCCGGCAGCCCCTCTGGCACCCTGTCAGGTCTCTACCTCCCCTCGTTCTCTACGAACTTGGTGAGTGGTGCTGATCTACAGGATGGGGGGGTGGACCAGTTCACTCCTGCGAGTCAGCGGGTGACCCACTGTACGTGTGCTCGGACGGGCCGACACTTGGCCACGTTTACCCGTCAGCCGGGGTCGAGCCTGTACACACTGACTACTGAGTCTCCTCCGGTTGCTGAGTCTGGTCAGGTAGCTGCGTCGGGTCAGGTGTTTGCTGCAGCGTCCAGGTCTGGTCCTGAGTCCACCCCACCTCGCGCCGTGTTCTGTCCTCCCAGGACGTCACCTTTGACGAGTCGGTGCCTTACTACCGTCTCTTCCCCTACCGCACTGCGCCCCTCCCCCCGCCACCGCTCTTCCTTGCGCCAGGTCCCCCCCCCGTAGACCCCCTCCCCCCTCAGGGTCCTTCCCCGTCAGGTGTGTCCCAGGTAGACGCAGTCGAGCCTGTCGAGGTAGTTGTTGACTCTGGTGCTGCTAGGGGTGCTGAGCCTGGGGGTGCTGAGTCTGGGGGTGCGGAGCCTGGGGGTGCGGAGCCTGGGGGTACGGAGCCTGGGGGTGCTGAGCCTAGGGGTGCGGAGCCTGGGGGTGCTGGGTCTGCTTGTGTGGCCTCTGGGGGTGCTGGGTTTGGGGCCCCTTCGGGTGCTTCGTCGAGGCGGGAGCTACCCTCTCCACAGGAGCTGCGCGAGTGGTTTGCCCGGCGCTGGAGCCGTGCTGCTGGAGCTGGAGGTGCTGCTGTTACTGCTGACCCTGGGGTCGGCACTGGAGTTACTAGAGCCACTGGTCCTGGAGGTGCTCGTACTGGCGGCACTAGAGCTGCTGGGACTGGGGGCGCTGCTGGGGCTGCTGGAGTTGGTCCTGCTGGAGGTACTGCTGGAGCTGCTGGCGGTACTGGAGCTGACGGTCCTGCTGGAGTTGGTGCTGCTGGAGCTGCTGGAGTTGGTGCTGCTGGAGCTGCTGGAGCTGGAGCTGCTGGGGGTGTTGGCGCTGGTGGTGCTGCTGGCGCTGGTGCTTCTGAGGGTGCTGGAGTTGGCGCTGTTGGAGCTGGAGGTGCTGCTGGCGCTGGTGCTGCCGCTGGGGGTACTGGTGCTGTCCCTGCTGGTTCTGGAGGCGCTGCGCGGCAGCGGCCGTACTTCGTTCCGCTCCTTGAGCAGGTTCTTGGTCTCCCGCCCTCTACTGGTCCTGCTCCTCCCTTAGAGTGTCCACAGCCTGTCCAGTCGCGGTCACAGTTACAGCCCGCCTCCCCCCTACCTGCTCCTTCTCCCTACACTGGTCCTACTGGAGGTCTTGCTGAGCGTCGTGAGCCTGCGTCTCGTCCTGCGTCGCCTGTTCGTGCTGCTCGCACTAGTAGTCGTGCTCTGCGTCCGCGTCCTCCTGCGGTCCCAGGCACACACCAGATGGCACTGCGTCCTTCCACTGCTCCTCTGCGTGTCCCGTTGCCGTCTCCTCCAGAGTCCTCTCTTCCTGTCCTTGCTGACCCGGAGTCTGACTCTCTTCGTGCTGCCAGTCCTACTGTCACGCGTCTCCTGGCTACTGTTGTCACTGACCCTTCCTTTGAGTCCACTGCTGCGTCTGCCTTGGTTGCTGAGCTTGTCGCCTAGACTACGCTGCTAGTCTTGTTGCTGAGTCTGAGTCTGTCTGTCCTCCGTCCGTCGGGGGTGAGTGTGCTCTTAGCACGGACGTCCTTGAGGACAGGCAGGAGGAGTTCCAGTGTTTTGCTGCTGCTTTGCCTCATCTCGTGTCCACGCTGATTGCCCCTGAGGGAGACCCGGATGCACCAGACATCCCGACTCCTCGATCGTACGCTGAGGCGATCGAGGGTCCCTACTCCTCACAGTGGCAGTCAGCCATGGACGCAGAGATGGCTTCCTGGAAGTCCACAGGCACCTACGTTGACGAGGTTCCCCCACCTGGGGCGAACATCGTCAGTGGCATGTGGATTTTCAGGGTGAAGCGGCCGCCGGGTTCTCCGCCTGTCTTCAAGGCGCGTTACGTGGCTCGAGGCTTCAGTCAGCGGCAGGGAGTTGACTAATTTCAGACCTTCTCTCCCACCCCAAAGATGACCACTCTTCGGGTGCTGCTGCACATAGCCGCTCAGCGCGACTACGAGCTTCACTCTCTTGACTTCAGCACAGCTTTCCTGCATGGCAGCCTGCACGAGGAGATCTGGCTGCGCCGCCCACCTGGCTTCACTGGGTCGTTTCCCCCTGGTACCCAGTGGAGCCTCCGGCGGCCAGTCTACGGTCTCCGCCAGGCGCCCCGTGAGTGGCATGACACACTGAGGACTACACTTGCGGCTCTTGGGTTTGCTCCTTCTACTGCCGACCCGTCGTTGTTTCTGCGCACCGACACCTCTTTGCCACCGTTCTACATCGTCGTGTATGTCGACGACTTGGTCTTTGCCACTGCTGACACTGCTGGACTCGCCCACGTGAAGTCCGAGCTGCAGAAGAGACACACGTGCACAGACCTGGGTGAACTGTGCAGCTACCTTGGCTTGCAGATCACCCGGGACAGAGCACAGCGCACCATTACCCTGACTCAGTCACACATGGTGCAGCAGGTCCTTCAGCGCTTCGACTTCACGTACTCCTCGCCTCAGGCCACTCCTCTGTCTACTCGCCACTCGCTCTCAGCTCTGCCTTCGGATGAGTCCGTAGAGCCGAGTGGCCCGTACCCAGAGCTTGTTGGCTGCCTCATGTACCTGATGACCTGCACTCGACCTGACCTTGCATACCCTCTTAGCATCTTGGCACGATATGTTGCTCCTGGGAGACACCGACCAGAGCACATGGCTGCAGCGAAGAGGGTGTTGCGCTACTTGTGCAGTACGTCGGGCATGGGGCTAGTGCTTGGAGGGCGACGTTTAGTGGTCCTCACAGGTCACGCAGACGCTTCTTGGGCTGACGACCAGGCTACGCAGCGGTCGTCACAGGGTTACACCTTCAGCCTTGGTTCCGGCTCTGTTTCTTGGCGGTCTACCCGCTCGTCTTCTGTTCTCGGCTCCAGCTGTGAGGCTGAGATCTACGCGGGGGCCATGGCTGCACAGGAGCTATGCTGGCTCACCTACCTGCTGACTGACCTAGGAGAGCCGCCTGGTTCTCCACCAGTTCTGTACGTAGACAACAAGGCCATGCTGGCCTTGTGTCGGGAGCACAGACTGGAGTACAGAACGAAGCACATTGCTCTTCGCTACTTCCTTGCTCGTGAGCTGCAGCAGCGTGGTCAGCTGCGCCTTGCTTACGTGGCCTCTGAGGCCAACACTGCTGATATCTTTACCAAGGCACTTCCGCCTTGTGATCATCAGCGCTTCTGTACGATGCTAGGTCTTGTGCCTACTTGGCCTCACTTGCTCACTTCTTGACCTTGCTTATACTGTGATCTTTCTATACCTGCACTTGCTTGTTTACCTTTATATATGATCTTGCATGTGAACTGGCCTTGTGGCCTTGAACTTGTGCTCGGAGTGTGTGGTGACGTTGTGATCCACCCTGAGCTTGCTTTGCTTTGCTTGACTGGTCTTGTGACCTCTTGTTCTCCCCCAATTTGCCTATGGGGGTGTGTCAAACTCATATGCTATAGTCTGTGTAGGCTGTAGTGGGGTAGACAATATGGGGTACAACACTTTTAGGTTTTCCTACTTGTACCCACCTGCTTGCTAGTTCATTCATTCCTCGTTATTTCACATGAGAATGTGTGTTGTTCACTATAGCACACAAGGTACATATAGCAAACTAGCAAGGAAACATAACTACACTAAAGCTAAAGCTCCAGGCAGTTATAAACATATATAAATATATATCGCGACACACCCCCTTAACTGCCTGCAGCACATAGCTAGAGTAAGTCACACCTCCTGAAGGGGTATTGCAGACGTTGTGAAAGACGGTAGAGAGGTAAGTGAGGAGGAGGAGGCGAGAGAGAGACAGGGGAGGAGAGGAGATAAGAACAAAGGAGGAGGTGAGTGAGGGATGAGGAGAGGAGGTGGGGGGGTGGCCGTGGCGTCCCCTCTTGCTAACCCCCTTTTACACAGGGGGGGTTGAGTGGGGGATGAGGTGTGGAGGTGGGGGAGTGGCCGCAGCGTCCCCTCTTACTAACCCCCACATCCCCACCCCCAATCAACCAACCCCCTGTAACCTCACCTCCCATTTCAACCGCCCCCTGGAACCGCACTCCCTCCCTCCTTTTCTTCCTCCAGACCCCTCCCCACCCACGATGGTCCCTGTCCAGTTCTTCACAGGTGGGGCTGCTGGTCACAGGTGGGGCTGCTGGTCACATGTGGGGCTGCTGGTCACAGGTGGGGCTGCTGGTCACAGGTGGGGCTGCTGGTCACAGGTGGGGCTGCTGGTCACAGGTGGGGCTTCTGGTCACAGGTGGGGCTGCTGGTCACAGGTGGGGCTGCTGGTCACAGGTGGGGCTGCTGGTCACAGGTGGGGCTGCTGTTCACAGGTGGGGCTGCTGGTCACAGATGGGGCTACTGGTCACAGGTGGGGCTGCTGGTCACAGGTGGGGCTGCTGGTCACAGGTGGGGCTGCTGGTCACAGGTGGGGCTGCTGTTCACAGGTGGGGCTGCTGGTCACAGATGGGGCTACTGGTCACAGGTGGGGCTGCTGGTCACAGGTGGGGCTGCTGGTCACAGGTGGGGCTGCTGGTCACAGGTGGGGCTGCTGGTCACAGGTGGGGCTGCTGGTCACAGATGGGGCTGCTGGTCACAGGTGGGGCTGCTGGTCACAGGTGGGGCTGCTGGTCACAAGTGGGGCTGCTGGTCACAGGTGCCTGGTGCTGGCGGCTGGCGCTGGTGCTGGTGCCTGGTGCTGGCGTCTGGCGCTGGTGCTGGTGCCTGGTGCTGGCGGCTGGCGCTGGTGCTGGTGCCTGGTGCTGGCGGCTGGCGCTGGTGCTAGTGCCTGGTGCTGGCGGCTGGCGCCTGGCGCTGGTGCTGGTGCCTGGTGCTGGCGGCTGGCGCTGGCGCTGGTGCCTGGTGCTGGCGACTGGCGCTGGTGCTGGTGCCTGGTGCTGGCGGCTGGTGCTGGTGCTGGTGCCTGGTGCTGGCGGCTGGCGCTGGTGCTGGTGCCTGGTGCTGGCGGCTGGCGCTGGTGCTGGTGCCTGGTGCTGGCGGCTGGCGCTGGTGCTGGTGCTTGGTGCTGGCGGCTGGCGCTGGTGCTGGTGCTGGCGGCTGGCGCTGGTGCTGGTGCCTGGTGCTGGCGGCTGGCGGCTGGCGCTGGTGCTGGTGCCTGGTGCTGGCGGCTGGCGCTGGCGCTGGTGCCTGGTGCTGGCGGCTGGCGCTGGTGCTGGTGCCTGGTGCTGGCGGCTGGCGCTAGTGCTGGTGCCTGGTGCTGGCGGCTAGCGCTGGTGCTGGTGCCTGACGGCTGGCGCTGGTCCTGGTGGCTGGTGCTGGTGTAGCGGCGCTGGTGCCGGTGCTGGTGCTGGTGACTGGCTTCGGTGCTGGTGCTGGTTCCTGGTGCTGGCGGCTGGCGCTGGTGCTGGTGCCTGGTGCTGTTCCGCCGCCACTCCCTTCCCCCTTTTCCTCTCTCCCCCACAGCGTTCCGCCGCCACTCCCTTCCCCCTTTCCCTCTCCCACCCGCAGCGTTCCGCCGCCAATCCCTTCCCCTCCTCCCTCTCCCACCCACAACGACCGCCGCTGCACACGCGAACAGTCGCGACGGGGGGGGGGGGGGGGGGTGACGAGCAGGGGGCCGGGGGAATGCGACAGGCGGAGCGAGGCGAAGGGAAGGAAGAAAACGGGACGGGGGGGAAAGGGCCGCGACGACCGCCACCATCGCTGTCCCCTTCATTCCCGATGCCGTCCCCCCCCCTTCCCCACTCTCGCGCAAACTCGGCAGCAGGTGTAGGCGCGGGCAGAGGTGGTGAGCGTGGGGAAATGCGACGGGCTGACGACGGGGGAAACGCGACGGGCTGGCGACGGGGGAAACGCGACGGGCTGGCGACGGGGGAAACGCGACGGGCTGGCGACGGGGGGAAAACGCGACGGGCTGGCGACGGGCAGGCGACGAGGGAAAAAACGGCGGGCTGGCGACGAGGGAAACGCGGCCGGCTCGCCGCCGCGCCCGTCGCAGCGAGCGCCGTGCCACGAATAGGTGGGCCCATTAACTTAGGTCAGGAACTTAATCGCTCTATACAATGTTACAATACTAAGTTAACTAGGAACCGGGTTTAGGAGAGGGCCTAAGCTTAGTAGCCTAGGCCAAGCGGGTTCGAGGAGTTTGTGCCAAGAGAAAGTGAGAATGTGTGTTGTTCACTATAGCACACAAGGTACATATAGCAAACTAGCAAAGGTGCACCACCACCAACAAGGAAACATCACTACACTAGAGCTAAAGCTACAGACAGTTATAAAAATATATAAATATATATCGCGACAACTGGACCCAGGCGCACGTGTGAACGTGGCCAGGTGACGGCCGGTCCGGGAGCACGTGCAGATCGCCACACGCTGTCCTCCAAGGAGTAAAGGTGTCAACCCAGTGATCCTGAAGGACGGCGTTGCTCACCAAGTTCGTAGAGAACGAGGGGAGGTGGAGACCAGACAGCTCACCAGACGGGACTGCCGGACTCGGAAGCACAGTGGAAGACCGTGCAAGCACTGGGCTCCCAGAGGGGTCAGCCAGTGAGACAGGAACAGGTGCAGGGAGGGGAGTGACTGTGGTGCTGTCGCGAAAGAAACAGCGGGAAGCACCAGAGTCAAGTGTGAAGGTGTGCAAGGCCTGTGCGGACGCAGTACCAGGGGGAGCAGACTCACAAGCACCTAGTGCCACAGGCGCTATACCTGGGGCTATACCAGGGTCAGGCGGCACACACAAGTAGCAGTCACCCTCAGCACTAACAGTCAATGCATACATGGCAGCAAGAATAGCCTAAGAGTCAAGATCAAAGATAGGTACATTACGCCTAAGCAGGAATGCCCAGTTGGGGAACTCAGTAGCATCAGGAAACTTGACGCGCCAGGTGTCGCTAAGCCGAGCGAAGCAGCGGTACTCAGTGTGAAACCCTGTGCACTGGCGACCAGCGCGGGGACCTGCGCGAATGATATAGGGGCAGCGACCAGGACCCCCAGATGCCCCACGCCCGGCATACCAGTCAAGAAGCTGCTGGGAAGTGGGGGTCTGGCCCTGACGCTGCTGCGGCTGCTGCTGCAGCCCCTGGCCACCACTGATGTCACCCAAGCCCCCACCACCGCTGCCACCACCACTCCCCCCTCTGCCACCACCGCCGCCGCCACCGCCACCGCTCCCGGCACCACCACCGACCCCACCACCACCTCCACCCCCACGACCACCCCCACCACCTCCACCTCCCCCGCCGCCTCCACCACCGCCCCCTCCACTGCCACTTCTGCCACCTCTGCCACCCTTGCCTCCCCTGGAGCCGTTGCGCTTCCCACTAGGAGCGGAAGCAGCTGCGACCTTCTCAGCACCAAGGAGGTCGACAGCAGCAGCTGCGGAGGCGTAGGAGGGGGTAAGAGGGGAGGGGGAGCACCCCTCAAAGAGGGGAGAGCGAGGAGTACCACGAGCAGCACCTAAAGCGAGGATGTTCTTCTCTGCTGCTAGGAGGTGCTTCTCGAAGTCGGCGACAGTGAGAGTGGTAGGGTCTAGGGCTAGGAAGTGGTCTCTGACGGAGCTAAGAGTGTCAGGGAGGCGGGTGACGAGGAAATAGAGAGTGAAGTACATTTGGGGGGGGGGGGTTGCGGCGCAGAACTCGGCTGGAAGGGCGGCACGAAAGCGAGTGTCTCTAGTGCGAAGGTGAGAAATGAGGTCCTCAGCAGTGGTAAACGAGGACAGGTCGGGGAACAGGTAGGGTAGCATGAGCCGACCTAGGGCTGCAGTGGCCGGGGAGGAGTAGCGCGCAACTACAGCGTCGTACAGTGCCTTAGCAGTTTTGTGCTGGCTGAAATGCACGCGCTCAGTGATCGGCAGATGGTTCCTAATAGCTAGGCGTGCAGCAGCATCGCGAGTCTGCCACTGTGAGCGTTCGAGAGCAGTAGCATCGTCAGCAGGAGCAACGGTAGTGCCAGACACGTAATCAAACAGTGAAACACTGTCTTTGGCATCGGTCAGAAGGAACAGTTGGAGATCGTCGAGCCACACAGCGAACTCGATCGGGCGACCGTCAGGCTCAAACGCGAGAACATTAAGCGTCGCCATAATCGCAGTGCAGGTAAAGCCAGTAGGCAAAGGCAGTAGGCAGCAGGCAGCAGGCAAAGGCAAAGGCAGCAGGCAGCAGGCAGTAGGCAGCAGGAAAAGGCAGCTCAGGCAGCGCGCGGGGCAGTAGCAGGCCGTGCGTAGGCTGCAGCAGCGGGCCGCGCGCGGGCTCCTAAGGCAGCTCGCGGGGCAGCAGCAGGCCGCGCGCGGGCTCTTACAATGGCGTGCGGGGCAGCAGGGGGCCGCATGCGAGCTCCTAAGGCGGCGCGCGAGGCAGCAGCAGATCGCGCGCGCTCCTAAGGCTGCTAGCAGAGCAGCAGCGGGCTGCGCAGGTGGCAGACGCGACACGCGGGGCAGCAGCGGGCTGCGCGGGCGGCAAACGCGGCGCGCGGGGCAGCAGCGGGCTGCGCTGGCGACGGACACGGCGCGCGGGGCCTAAGCGGGCTGCGCGCGGCGGCGGACTGCGCGGGCTCGTCGCGGGCTACGCGAGCGGTGCGCGGGCGACGCGAGCTCGGCGCAGGCTGCGTGCGCGGCGCGCGGCGCTGCAGCGGGCTGCGGAGGCGGCTGCAGCAGTAGCGCGCGCTAAAAAAAAACAAAAGATACGCGCGCGTGCAGCCGAGGCGCGCGCGGGCAGCAGGCAAGGCAGGCAGGCAGGCAAGGCCGTAGGTGAGGTAACACGGTAACAGGTGGGCCCTAATCTTAGGTCCTAAAGACCTACTGCTCTAGATACCATCTCAGAAACTAGGCAGGAATGGTTGACTATTGGGAAGATTGGGTACAAGTACAAACCCTAGCAATGTGTTGTACCCCATATGTGCTACCCCACTACAGCCTACACCCTAACATTATATATGTATATAGTTTGACAGTAAGTAGTAGACCTCGATGCTACGTAATAACTTCCGGTGATTTCCCGTGTGAACTTTACGCTTGTGCGATGGTACGCGTGTCAGAACTATACTCTAGGCTGTAGTGAGCCACTCCTTATGGGGTACAGCCCTGTTAGGTTTTGCCTATACAAACCTTGTATTTTTCTCATTCTAGTCATTCCTTGTCCTAATTCTCACATGGTTTCAGAGCAGGTTCCCTAGTGGGAACGTTATTTTTTTCTGCCCTGCCCGGAGCGCATTGCCGTGCCTGCCTGCCCCGTCACGCGCCTTGCGCCTGCCTACCCACGCCTTAGAGCGCCTGCCCTGCCTGCGCCCTCTAGCGCCTGTCCTACCCGCGGCCTCGAGCGCCTGCCCTACCCGCGCCCTAGAGCGCCTGCCCGTCGCCCTGCCCTGCAGGCCGCGCGCGGGCCTGCCCTGCACCCGCGTAGCCGCCCCTGGACCCCGCGGCGCTGCCCCTGGACCCCGCGGCGCTGCCCCTGGACCCCGGGACGCCGCCCCTGGACCCCGCGACGCCGCCCCTGGACCCCGCGACGCCGCCCCTGGACCCCGCGACGCCGCCACTGCTCGTCGCGACGCCCCTGCGGGACCTACGCGGCGCTGCTCCTGCTCGTCGCGGCGCCCCTGCGGGACCCGGGCGTCGCCCCTGCTCGTCGCGACGCCCCTGCGGGACCCGCGCGGCGCTGCTCCAGCTTGTCGCGACGCCCCTGCGGGACCCGGGCGTCGCCCCTGCTCGTCGCGACGCCCCTGCGGGACCCGCGCGGCGCCGCTCCTGCTCGTCGCAATGCCCCTGCTCGTCGCGACGCCCCTGCGGGACCCGCGAGGCGTTGCCCCTGCTCGTCGCGGCGCCCCCTGGGCGCCGTCCCTGCTCGTCGCGGCGCCCCCTGGCCGCCGCGCCCTGCCTTAACTGCGCCCCGCCCGCCCCCTGCCCCACCCCGCGCCCGCCCTTGGGGTGGCCGCCCCTGCCCTGCCCTGCCGCCGTCGCGTCTGCAGCAGCCGTTGCATCTGCAGCAGCCGTCACGGCCCCGCCGTTGCCGCTGCCGCGGCCCTGCCCAGCCGTAGCCGCTGTCGTGCCTGCAACCGCCGTCCCGGCCGCATCGTAGCTGCCGTCGCGGCCCCGCTGCCGCCGCCCGTCGAGCGCCTGCAGCCACCCGCCGAGCGCCGGACCTGCCCTACCCGTGCCCGTTGAGCGCCTGCCCACCGCCGCCGGTGGCATCTGCCCTACCCGCCTCTGGTGAGCACCTGCCCTACCCGCACTGCCCCCGTGCCTGCCTTACCAGCGTGCTACCGCGCGTGCCGCGCCTGCCTGCCAACCGAGCCGCGCCGCTCGGCCGAGCCGCGCCGCCCTGCCCTAGTG